ATCATACCGACTTCAACTGATGAAGACCGTCAGAATACCATCTCTCACTGCATGTTAATACACTCACTGTTTTGCTTGGACCACAATGATTAAAAGTTAATGGCATGGAGAGATTAATCTTTTTTATTTCCACTGCATCATGCTGATAAGCTAGGAAGATGGTACTAGTCCATGAGATACTCTTCACAGTATTTGGGACCTCTGGCAGATAGACAGACAGAAAGAAGTACAGGGGCAGTAAAATATCACCATGGGCAAAATTGGTATCGCCCCACTGCACTAACCATCTATGGAAGTGTACCCTGACCGGGCTCGCTAACATCATGCTCGGGAATTTGTTTACATTGCAGCTTTCATAATATACAGTTAGATGTTAATGGTGCATAATTTACATTGCATATTGTCTAAGATTGTATTGTCTAAGATATACTTTACACGGGTACTTTGCAGTTGGATGGATAAATACAATAATTATGATAAGTTATTTACAGATGTATATACATATTTCTTTTGTGTTTCGGTTTGTGTTTCGGTTTGGAGCTTTGTTGAGCTGGGGGCAGTGTTTATGGTATGTAGTTCGTTTGCTTTTTTTGTTACACGGTTTACAGTTTAGAAGTTCATTCATAGTGCAGTTCATAGTTCAGCATACAGTTTATGAATTCATTTCATGATACATAGTGTTGAGTACGTAGTACTGGTGTATCTGTCACACATTGCACAGTATGAAGTAGTTCGTAGTTTGAGTAGTATGAGAAAAGTCACGGTTGAATAAATGGAGATAATCAAGCGTGTTTTCTAAAGGCACTCTTGTATATAATATGAGAGTGAGAGTGGATATTCTTATTGTTGCATTTTATGAACTTAGAGAATTATTTTGGGTTGTAAGCTATGGATGACACAGGTCCAATCCTTGACGGTGTAGAGAAAATCAATAATATTTTTTATGTTTTGGAAGACTTTACGGTGCTTAATGATGAATCTTCTAAATTCTATTCAAGTATCAGTGGGATGGCAAATGCAATGGGCTGACGTTAGCGGACACTGAAACATGTAATGTTCAGGGTCTCCACTTTCCCCGCATATGCATCTATACGATGTAGCCATGTTGCGATCATAAAAATACTTGGGGAAGGGATCGTGACCCGAGATGTACTGGGTTAGGAAGTAGGTTGAAATTGTGGTATTTTCATCAGCCTTGGGTAGTAGTTTGAATGTACATCGTCCTAGTGACCCTTGTTCCCATTGACGTTGCCACTTTTCATTTGCCATTTGTTTTAGTTTGTACTTTAATGGTGAGTTAGGCCATGGGATATGAATTTGAGATCCTGTTTGTTCTAGAGCTGCCTGTTTTGCTATAAAATCGACCCTTTCATATCCTTCACAGGCGTTGTGCCCTCTGGTCCATGACAAGACAAATTTCTTTTTACTTGTGCTTATAATGTCTTGAATTTGCAGAGCTATAGAAAAATTTGTGTGCTGTTGTTTGATGGCACGTATGGAAGACTGACATGGATGATTACATGGATGGTATCTGTATTTAAGTCACTAAGTTGCATGATGCTGTTTAGTATGACTATGAGCTCTGCTTGATATATGCTGTTTTGCGTTCGAAAGTAACCTTGCCATTCGTAGTGGAGGCCTGTTTTGTTTTTATGCTTCTTACCTTATTTTCGATCTTTGAGCCATCCATGTAGGTGGCTTGTCGAGGTTGCAATGGAGATTGTGAAGACCCAGAGCGGGATGTCTGTTATATTTCAGTGGCTTTTCTTCATAGTCTTGTGGATTGAAAATTATGCTGTTGTACGTGGAAGTTTTGAGTTGTAGGATCATTGTGGACAGTGCATTGATTTCTGTTTGAATTGGTAGTGGGGTTACCCCGGCTATTGTTTGCAGTGCATTGGTTGAGGTTGCTGAGAATGATCGGGTAATATTGATCAAGAAAGGTCTTTGAATTGAGTTAAGAGTCCGAATTTTTCTCGCTGTCATGGGAAAGGCCCAGATAGCAGCTCCGTAGGTGTAATTATTTTATGACTACTGTCCTTTAATAGAATTTTCATAATGCGATGATTAAGGCCCCAGGAATAAATATCCTTTCATCGCCCTTAATGCTTTTGCGAATTTGGTGGTGGTTAGCTTCTTTTCCTGGAGATGTGATATCCAATTGAATTTCTGGTCTATGGTGAGTCCTAAGTACTTAATGGTCTTCACACATTTTATTTTATTGTATCCAATTCGTAGCTGGGGTTCCTAATTATTGTTTGTCCTGGCTTGTATATTATAAGTGTGTGCGATTTTATGTGTGATATTTGGAGTTTATTCTATGACAAAGGTTGTTGAATATATTAAGGGTGGTGTTGCAGTTTGCCTCTAGTTGTCTTCGTGTAGATCCTTGGATTATGAAGGTAACATCGTCGGCGAAGGCTACAATCCTTGTGTTATTTGGCCACTGATGATCAATAATATTATTAAAGGTGATGTTCCAGAGATCCATGCTCATACATGACCCTTGAGGACATCCTTTAGTTTGTTTTCTGCCAATTATGGTATTGTCATAGATTACTATGCTGTGTCTGTTCTTGAGATAGTCCGTAATCGTTAGGTACAGGTTTCTTGGGCACTGCATCTCCCTGAGGGCCTGCTTGACAGCTGGCCACCAGAGAGAATCGAATGCGTTTTGCAGGTCAAGACTTGCAGGATAGCCAAGTGCATTTGATTGCTTTTGTTTGCTTGTATTTGGGAGTTTGCTATATCTATTGTGTGAGTGCTTACGCTTTTGGGTTTAAATCCATATTGGTTGGTACTTATTCTATTGTCTTTATATATATGGTATTTTAGTCGATTGACCAGAAGTCGTTCAAGGAGCTTTCCCATGGCTGGTAGTAGATTTATTGGTCGGTATGAGCGAGGGTTCTCTGGTTTTTTGTTTTTCTTTGAAAACAGGATGATTTGCCCTTGCTTGAAGGAGTCCGGGAAGCAGTTGTATTTCAGGCATTTATTGTAAAGATTTAGGAGTATTTCTGGGCTGACTTTACAGATTATCTTCAAGACTTGATTTGAAATCCCATCTGGGCCAGGTGCCTTCGCATTGTTGAGTGTTTTGATGAGCTGTAGTAATTCTTTCTTTGTAAATTGTCTGTCATCTGAGGTGTTTGGTGAATTAATGGAGGTTCTTAATTCTCGTTGCTCTGGGGTGTTGTCTTGTGGAAAACATGGTCTAGGATGTTGTTTAAGGCTTCTGTCGTAACGTTGGCATTGTTGTATGTATGTATGTATGTATGCTATTTGTGGTTGTATCTGTGTCAGCTTAAAAATCTTTGAAGTGGCAATTTTATAGAGTGCTCCGTAAGTATTCTGGTTGTTGGTGCAAAAGAAGGTCCAAGATTTGAGTTTAGCTTCTGTGATTTTCTTCTTATAAATTGCCCTTTGCCTGTTGTATTCAGCCCATGCTGCTGTGCGATTTTCGTGGTTAGTGCGGGACTTTAATCTTTTTCTTAGCGCTCTGGTCTTTTGGCGATCTGCATACAGTTCTTTGGTCCACCAGTTAGCTTTTGTTTCATTGGTGGCTGACTTTAGTTTGAAGGATGCATAGCAGCATTATTTAATAAGTCGTGTGAAGTGTATTGCATATATATTGACATCTTCTTTGGATTTTGTCTGGGTGATAGTTTGTAGAATGGGTTGAACTTTTGGACTTAATAGTTTGATAAACTTTTTCTCTGCGTTGCTGCTAATTCGAAAGCATTTCGTCTGTATGTTTTCTATTTTCTGGGCAATTTCAAAGGCGATGTATTTGTGGTCGGAGAAAGAATCGTCTTCGCTGATTTTCCTATTCTGGATTTTGTGAGTTAGATGGTGTGTACTGAGAGTCAAATCGAGCCATCTTCTTCCATTGATTGTGGTGAAAGTGGGTAAGTCCTCAGGTTCGTTGTGCAGGATCAGATTGTTAAAGTCCTCCATTTCTGTTCCTCTTGGGGTGGTACGTGGATAACCCTATAGGCTGTTCTGTGCATTAAAATCACCATTGATCACATGAGTTGCTTTGCTATTGTGGAGAGTCATCTTTATTTCTTGCAGGGTGCTATCGAGGCCTTCGATAGGTGACGCATAGGTGCTAGTGAGGTAGATATGTGATTCTGCTGTAGTAATGGATATGGTGACTACATCTCTGTGTGCTTTGATGTACCAAGCACCTATACTGTATAGATCTGGACCTTGTCACTTATACTCCTTCATTATTTTCTGTCAAGAAGTTTGGCAGGCCGTACCTCTGGAACTCTTCTGTGCACTTAATCTATGTATGGCAATGTTTTATCGACATTAGACTCCACAAAAAGGTCATTAGAAATGCCTAAAAAATAAAAACTTCAATTAAATGTTTCAAAACCAATTTTAATTAACATTTAAAAAAAAATCCTCACAGAAGGCTATGTAATTAAGCGTTGATACACACCAGCCAATGCCAGACACTGGCCACTGAGAGGCAAAAAAAGTGAGAAGTAAGTAGTAAATCTTAACAAAAAATTTCAAGTTTTTATCCTCGTGCTATGGTGAGCACATATGCATATTGCAGAGCAAAGATGAATGTTGCCATTTACTGCAATGAGGATTTCAGGTATACATGCCTTACCATGTGGTAGCTGATATCATTTCCAAAAGGGCAGCCAGGTATTCCTAATTCAGTGGTCTTTAAGTGCATAACTTAATATCTTAAGTGTATTCGTTGACATAATATAGTTATTCTGTGCTTACTTCGAAAAGAATATGTTTTGTTGTTTCCTTTTTTTTTTTTTAATAATCTGCTGCTGAGTTATTATATTGAAATAGTGGTATTAATTTCAATATCTTTTACTTTCTTAATAAATTAAATTTTGAATTATTGATTGTTGTATGGGGATTTAATTTTGAAATTTTTTTTGATATGGTAATTTGTTTTCACTTTTTGCTTATTTTTTTGTTATCAGTAACTAGACCTTTAAAAACTTAAAATTTCATCTTTTCAGGCTGAAGCACGGACTTTACCCCTTTATGACTCTTTAATCACATCTGCTCAGAAAGCTGAAGCATTTCTTCGAAAGAGGATGCTGTTTGAAGATAATGTAGATGGAAAAACATTCTTTGGTTTAAGTGATGATGGTTAGTTTTATATGTTAAATTAAGGAAGATAATTTTCATATAATTGCATGCTTTTGTGAGTAGGTAGGGAATTCTTTCTTTATAGTGATTTTATATGTTATCATTATGCTTCTTCCATCTTCATGCCTCCTGCTTCTGTGATTATATATCTTCATGTAATTTACCTACTATGTAGTCATTCTTTGATAATTTTGCTATCATTGAAATTTTTGGCATTTGATCTTGATTTCTCATAATAGTTCATGTCATTAATGATCCTTTAATGAAATTTTTGACTGTAAGAATAATATTCATTAATATATGTAAGCAATTTATCACTACCTTCTGTATATGAACCTGATTACTTTCCAGTCTTTCATTTGCATGAAAGATTGGAAAGAAAAGCATTTTCCCCCTTTTCTTTTCTTTCTTTTTTCCCCTTTTTCTAACATGAGTCTTAGCATCTAACTGGAAGGCTAGAAAGACAGTTCATTGATAAGGAAGTCTGTAAAATTTGATATTTACAGTACAAAATGGGGATTTTCTAACAAATATATGTACTATGATGACTATAATGATGAACATTTCCAGAAATTTTTGTTTCTCAAATTTGGGTGCATGCTTGTAGAAGTGCTATATTGATTCATTGCAAATCTTTATATCTTTATTGAATATTTGATAGAGAAACCTATTAAAAAACAGGATTCAAATATCTGTAGTGCTGAAAAGATAGTACTCATTTGTTTCATTCATTCGTGATTGTATGAAGAAATCATTTAGATTTTCAGATTTTAACAATCCTCATTCATTGTTCAGGATCAGACATACGTAGTTACGGCATGATTTGATGTTATTTTTAGCACCTATTTATATTTTTAGATAATAAAGAACCCAAGAAAACAATTAATTGTTGTAGAAGAAGAGGCTGGTTTTTTCTGTCCTGAATAGATAAGCATATAAGAACAATACGAGTTATGGTGATTAAATCACTAGTGCAGAAATTTTATTTTTGCCATCGCAAAGAACTGAGCCTGGAAAAAAGAAAATAAACTGCTGATGACAAAAGACTAAGGGCTGTATCTTAACCCTCTGAGTATCATACCTTTTTGGATCTGTTAAAAGAAGTATATTTAAACAACATTTATTTCCTAAATTTGTACAATTAATTATTTTAACCATCATTAAAATATTTAGATAATTAAAGAAAATAATTATAAAAAATAAAATTTTCTAAATAATAAGGTGATGTACAAGGTGTGTCACACACACACAAAAGAGAGTCCAATAAATCTTTGTACCTACAGAATCAGTTTTCCGTGACATTATCACCTCCAAAGTAGTTCCCTTCAACATTCACACACTTCCGCATTTGGTGTTGCCATTGCTGGTAACAGTTCTGGAACAAGGTTTTTGGAAGGCCCTTCAGAAGATTCTCAGTTTTTGCCTGAACCTCTTCAGCTGAGGTAAAATGGGTTCCGTTTAAGTAAGATTTAACTTTAGGAAATAAAAAATGTTGCATAGAGCCAAATCAGGTGAATAAGGAGGATACTCCATCAAGATAATGTTTTTGCTGGTCAGGAACTGCTTGACAAGTAGGGGCGTTGTCCTGGTGTAACAGCCATCCATCACTCCACAACTGTGGCCTTTTTTTTTTTTCCTAACTTTTTTACGAAGTCTTTTAGTACTTCAATGTAGTAGTATTGATTAACAGTCTGACCTCGGGGAACCCATTCAATCATGATGAACGTGCTGGGTGAGCACGTTCATCATCTTCTACACTATCCCTTCCCCCTGAAAACTGCTTATGCCATTCAAACACACGTGGATGAGACAAAGTTTCATTTCCATAAGCCTTGGTCAACATTTGAAATGTTTCCTCTGTGACTGATGTCTTAAGTTTCACAAGAAAGTTAATGTTGATTCTCTGTTCAGTTTTTGCATTAGACATTTTTCCAGCAGAATGCAGTTGCACATGTTCACTCAGTAATGCAGTATACTCCACTGGTGGGGTCAGTTAAGTCGAAACTGGCCGCATGGATGGAGGAGGTGTGTGGTATGACGTCACCAAAACAGTTGTTGCCAACTCTATTCTGTTTTCAAGCTACACTTTTTTTTTTTTTTTTTTTTGTCACATATTGTATGCCAAATAACAAAAAGTCTCTGATTGGATAAAAGTGGTCATATCACTCAGGGTAAAATAGGATTTTATTTAAGGTCGTTAAAGAAGAATTAGCAACAACATTGTTTTTATAAGCTCAAAAATTAACACCATGCTTTAGATTGCTTGCTTCCATTGATCTGCTTCTGAATCAAAATTGAATTCAGAAATTTTCATTCTGCTGCCATTGATTTTGTTATTTCAAATAATGTTTATCTTTTAAATCAATTCTTGCTGACCTTATCATTTTTAATCAAGTAGTAATGCTATTTACATCCATTTCTCATGTAAGGATCTCAGATGAAATTATGCTTTCTAGATGCAGATCTTTTATTCTTCTGTCATCGACAGATATTTTACTCCTTACTTTCTTGCTTCATAGATTTTGCTTCCATGCATGTTCAAGATTTTTTTGTTCTCTTGATACACAAATTGAAGTGACAAAGCTAGAGGCAAATAAAATTAGCAAGCTAGAAGCTAATTTTTTGGATAATGTAAACAGCTTTTAATAAATGGATTCTGAAAGGTTATATTGAAGTGAATGATATCCTACTTCTGAGAATTGCATAGCTCACAATGTAGATGTGTCACAAAAACGAGACAAAGTTGTGTTATATTTCTTCCAACAAGTACCAGATCCATATAGCTGTGAAAGCTATTTTCATCCAGGATGAACATAACCTTTTATTGTGTGGTAAATATAGATGTAAATGAATAAACAAAATTTAATACCTTACTTGATGTCTTTGTCTTCTAAATATAGGTCCTTCTAATACAGCTTTAGAAAACATAGTGAAACAATGTTTTAAGATTATAAAGAACTGTTTTGATATATGCTAAGTAAATGACAAAACGGAAAAAGTTGCATAAGCAAATTAATTTTCAATTAATGTAAATTGTGAGAAATTTGAATCTTGGGAGGATATTAATGAAATATTTGAAGTTTCTGTACTGATGCCAGTTCATTGTCTCAAAGAAGTCCATATAGAGTATGAGCAATTTTTTGAAGATGAGCAAATTGGTTAGAAATTCCCTGCACCACCCAAATCTATGATTTTCTGCCAACGTTTTGGTAGTTTTGCAGCATAGATTTATCTAGTAATGATACAATGCAAAAGTGTTATTAATTTTTTTAGAATAAAGAGAAAATAACCAAATTAAAAAGGGGAAATTAGAAGGCTATTACTAAATTAAATTATAAAGCTGATTTATATATTTTTTATCTTACAAATTTATATATATATATCTGTATTTTTTATTTTCTTTTTAGTTCGTTTCGAGTCTGACAATGAAGATGATTTGGTAGAAGTGGACTTTGACATGGATGATATAGAGGAAGAGTTGGAACTTGATTCATCTATTCTCACATGTCAGGCGAGCACTTCAAAAAAATTATCTGGTCGTGATTTGTAAGTGTATAATCATCATTAGATATCTTAATTTTCAAACTTGTCAACCATGCCTGTACTTTTAAATGTGTGCATTACATCAGACATTTTGTAAAGAATGTAATGAATAAAGCTGTTAATAATCCAACCTCTGATTTAATGTCTTCATATTCTTTTGCATGTTAATTGTAGGATATATTTTGAGTTGAAATGTTGACGTTTTTATAACTATAATTGACTAAGCTACATTTAAATTTACCAGTACAGATCAAAACACCGAAGGTAATTCAAAAAGTAATAGCAAATTGGGTGTTCATAATCAGGATATCAAATAGATTTTAATAGAATAATAGTGAAAATGGTGATATAATAGAACAGTGTCATGTCTTTGACAAAATCACCTTCCTTATTGGCACATAACACACAGTGCACTCCCATACAGTCTGCACCAGCTGTTGGATTCCTCTTTAGAAAAATGCTATGGGCTATGGCTGTAATCTGGAATGTATAATTTCTCTGACTACAGTATAGTTTTGAAATTGTCAGTATGTCGTTCATAAGTCCAAACATATCACACATGATAATCAGTGTGGTCCAAAATTCCATAATGTTTGGAACTTTTGGGCCATAGGTCTGCTTTATTTATTGTCACAATTTCACATCATAATATTCTACCCAGCTCCAGAGAGTAAACTTTGCTTAACATGTTTCAACGTCTTACGAATACTATGAAAAAACGGTGATTTTTATTGATGCCAGCAATGTATTTCTGTCTGCGGTTGCATCCAAAAGAAATAAGTCAGTATGACAAGTGCACTGAAAAAGGAGGGTGATTACTTTGAAAAATTATATTTACCATTTATGTGCATCTAATTATCCCCTTCATATTTCAACGTTTGCTTTTTTGGCATAACATGATATGTATTCAGTAAAAATGTTAACATTTTAAGAATTAGTTTAAATGTGGGAATCGTGAAAAGTTTTCTGCTCATCAAATTGAGAAAATGCAATTGAATTTTAATTAGAACAAGAAGAACATTGCTTGGGGTGTTCTAAATTTTTAAAGTGTGCATTTTTAAATTTCTGCAATTTTAAAAATATTTTTGTATTTTAATTCAAAACACATGAAAAGATCAAATTTCTTAATAAAGTTATGCCAAAGTGCATTTTAAATATTAAATAAATGAAATGAAAGTAAAATATTTGTACTTTAAAATAGCAATTTTAAAATGATTTTATCCAATCTTTAAGTTCTATTCATGGGTATTTATTGCTTCCACTGTTTGCATCGTATTAGGAGTACATAATATTGTACTCATCCCTGCAGATTTGGTTCTTAATTAAATTTTCTTTTTAGTTTCAATAATAATTTCCTTTTTTTAAAAATGCGTGAAGTTTATTTATCGTTTCATCATATTGATAGATACTTTTATTTGTTTTTGAAAGTCTGATTTTTAAAACGTTTCTTCCATAGGTAATGTATAAACCAGTGTTCTTTGATTGAAGTTTTAAAAGATCAAAAATTAGTCCTATTTGATTGTAGTTGATGCTGCAGAGTTCAACTATATGCTTCGTTCCTTTGTTAATTTTTTGCTTTTTCGGATACTTCTATTTGAAATTTCAAAAATTAAAAAAATACACATACAAAAGTTATAAGTTTTTTTAATTATTTCAATTTTGTTTTATTTACTATATAAGGTAATTTCTCCGTCCTTCCCGCAAGCTTTCGTGTTGTAATTGGAAGCATGCTTGACGCGTAAATCGGGAGGTTCGAATCTAGGCGAGGGCATTGCACATTTCTTATGTCCCCGGTCTGCCTTTTTTTTTAAAAAGAGATTTTACAAATGATGCCCAAACTAAAAGGTAGCAGGTTGATATTTTGTCATTGCTAGGATTTGGCAAATTGTTCCCCATTTGCCCTTTGAAAGTGGGAGTATATAAAGTATTTTCTCCCTCCTTTTCCACATGCTTTCATGGTGTGTTTGAAAACATATGAGATGTGCATTTTAGAGGTCCTGGGTTCGTGTCCTGGCAAGAACATTGCACATTTTTCATGTCTTCTTCTTCAAAATAACCTAATGACTCTACAACTTATTTTTGTTTCTTTCTTTTATATCATGTTATCACTCATATATTGGATACTTGAATTAATTTTCGCCGTTTGTTGGGCAGAAAATGCATGTTTATTTTTATAGAATAGTGTAATTAGATAATTTGCTGAAAGCAGTGTCCATCAGCAGCTACAAACTTTGTCACTTTTCAAATAACAAATGGATTCTGTGATAAAAAAACTTCAGGTTCTTTTGACGTGATCCACTCATGGAACCAGTGTTCAAGATCACTAAAAGATGTGTTGTTCTGTAAGGCCGTGCTGCATGGACCGAAATAAACGGTAATCGGGAGGGCCAGTGTCTGGTGAATATGGCAAGTGGAGTAAGACATCCCATCAAAGTCCATTCAAGATTTCCTTCACTCAGTTTGCAACATGTGATTTGGCATTGTCATGAAACAGAATTACTTTGTCATGTCTGAACAATTGTGGGCATTTAAGTGTGTGATTCAGATTAAATAATTGTGGTTTGTAGAGTTCAGCATTCATCATTTGACGTGGTTGCAGCAGCTTATGGTACACCACACTGACTTGATCCCAACAAATGCATAGCATAATCTTTTTGCTATAAATATCTAGTTTTGGCGTTAATGCAAAAATGACGTTTTGAAGCAGCACTTCACAAATGGTTTAGTATTTCGGAAAGTTTCTTTCTGTCAATTCATGCAGTACTCACTTTCCAAATTTCTGAATCATCCCCATTGCTTTTAAGTACGTACTAACAGTTGATGCATACACAGTTAGTGTTTCAGACAACTGTATAACCATCTGAGATGACTCTTATGCCAGTAATGCCTTTAACTGTCCATTGTCAAACTTTTTGGCTGAACAGGGCACATTTCGTCCTATACCTCAAAACTGTTGTCTTTGGATCGTCAGAACCAGCCTCTGCACACTGTTTTCTACAGAGCATGTTCTCCATACTCTCCCATTAACAAACAATGACTTTCAGCAGCAAATTTCTTGAGATGAAAGCAGAAGAGTAACATGTCCTGCAAATGCTCTTTTGTAGATACAAATCATGTTATATTCAAGGCACTAATTTGTATATTCTTTTACTCCACTCAGATGTCACGTACCGATCAGAAAACTTAACGTTTTTACAGTTAAATACGTCTTGTATTGCTATCTGCTATGTTGCACTTGTACAACTAGTGAAACATAGCAGTTCTGTACATCAACAGTGAGAATTAATTCAAGCTCCCGATAGTATTTAAACAAAGTGTAAATCCGACTAGAGTGGATAAATCAGTTTTGATTATTGAAAGCAATGACATAATTGAATAACTGGGAATGCTAGATAACATGAACTTTCAAAGGCTGGTTATAAAATTAGTTCTGCTGAACAAAAAAAAGGCATTATTTTCTTTTTCTTTGCAAAATCTGAGGCAAATTTATTGCATATCAGGATAGATGTAATTTTATTTTATGCTTAATAATTATTTTATTAGATTATAATATTATTATAATTTCAAAATTATTTTATTAGAAAATAAAAATATTTCCAATTATGTGGGTAGTGCAATGTATAAAATCAGATAAGAAATAGGTAAGAAAAAATAGATAAGAAATAGGTTATGGTGGAAAATGAAACGTAGGTTATAATAATAGTAATAAAAAAAAATACTTCGTTCTCACACTTGTATGATCTTTGTCCCATTTAATATTCCAGTAGCATACTGTGCATATAAAAATAAACCATCAGCCTACAAAGTTACATTTTTTTAAAGGATTAAATTATACTTTTCTGAAGGCAGTAAACAAGTAAATTTAAATGTAATGACTCTCAAAACTTTTTTCTTGAAAATGAACTCTTATAATTTTAAGAAACTGCACAACACATCAAGCTATATTGTTATTGCATAGCATTCTGTTATCACGGGAAAATATAAGTATTTTTTATGATTATGAAGTTGAACTTTGAATCAAAAATGCATTTATTAAATAAATGAGCATAAAATTTAAATGCTTTGTTTTATTTTATTTATTTATTTTGGAGGCGGAATGGGTATCGTTTTGAAGCTGGCATCTTCCGAGAAACTAGAGAAAGGTTATAATCTTTCAACTTTTATTCGTTATTGATTTGAATACTGAAATAATAGGCCTTTAACCAGTATCTGGTTCTTCCAAATCCTTCAAATTTTGTAGCTAGCAAAATTCTAAATGTTTGATTATTATATTATTTAAATTGCATTTAAATACAGAAATTACACTGCTAACCTTAAGCTGTTCATTAATTCATATATAGAAAATATTTTTTCCAATATTTTGAAGTTTCGTTTCATATGAAGAGCATTTCATATACTGTCCTTTTTTGTTGGTTCTGAGGGGGTTTCATTTGAGTTGATTTCAGTAATAGTTTCTAATATGAATTAATTTTTAATTAAAGGCTGATAACTGGGATAAATAAGGAATAAGTGATAATAGAAAGCTTATTAAATGCTTGAACAGTCTGTAGATTATACAGTCAAAAGTCTTTAATCCGGACTCGTCGGGACTTCGGCGATTTCGGATTATCTTTCTTTTTTCTTTTTTTTTTTTTTTTTTTTTTTTGATTATAGATCATCAGCTTAAATCTGGTAAGATGGCATGCAGAGATTATAAAATTAAAAATATGAAACCATAATTTATGAAATAAAGAGCAATTATAAGCTAAAGTGTATCAAAATTTACAAAAAAAAGCTTAATATTTATTTGTTTACTTTATTAAACATTTCTTCCAACGTGCACATGCGTAAAGCATACATTACACATAGTCGAAATTAGAAAATTGCAACCAGAAAACTATTTGATGTGTATTCATGATATTTATAAAGACGAGGAATTTGATTTAAATCATATCAGAGACGGAGTACATCGAGATGAAATACTACATTTAGTAAGAAATTATAAGCCGATTAGAATAAAAACATCTGCCCTGAAGATAAGGATAGTGCCAACAGGTCAACTTCCAGTTCGTTGCGCTCCGCGACGCCCCCTCCCGCAGAGCAGCGTGAAATTGATAAACAGATTTCGGAATGGTTAGAGAAACAAAGGATATGCCTTTATCCATTTTTTGCAGCAATTCCACTTTTTGTTTGATGTACATCGAAACATGCTTTTGCTTTGTAGATCCTTTGGCAGCTCCAGAATTGGAAATTCTTTTTGACATAATCGAAAGTTCAAGTTTACTTTTATAAAATTGCTCTAACAGTCTACAAAAAAAAAAAAAAAAGAAAAAATAAGCCGGATCCAATTCGAAGATTAAGGAACGACGCAATCTGCAACATTAACTGAAGTATAATAATTAGATAATTTTAGCTTAGCTTAAACCGTCCATTATACTTTAAACGCGCATGCGTAAACATATTATGCGCATGTGTAAAGTTATTATGCGCATGCGTCAACACATTATGCGTTGGCGCATGCGCAGTTTGTAGCTTTGAGGTCCGGATTAAAGACTTTTAACTGTAATATACTTTAATCCTCTAAGCTCCAATTAATTTTTTTTTTAACATTGAATTGCTTAATCATGTACTTTAATGCATTTTTCTTTACATTTACATTGTGCGATTGATTTCTAGGTGATCAAAGATACTCTTTAACAAAATCTTATAAAGAACAAAGTAATATTTGTAAAATTGGAACAGATATCATAAGTTATTACAAGGTAAAGATCATGTCTGGTTTTCATGTGTAAAGGACTGCCTACATTTGTGAACCATTACTTACCAGATCATTGGAAAATTAAATATTTCTGCTCATTCATCTGATTACTATTCAGTTTAATTTTAGGAAGATCCTAAAACATTATTAAGACTTTATAAAATTTTTTCCTGACTTTGTGAAAAGTTTGCATTAACACCATTTGCATTGCATTTCAAAAATTACATGTCTAATGTTAGTGAAGCAGAAAGGAACAACCATACTTAATTTTTTTTTTAAAGTTTTGGTTTTAGTTTATTCTATTTTTATGCAAAAGTAGTATTATTTTTCATGTGTAGAGAAGTTATTTTATATCATTTGACTTGTTTTATAGGAAAAATCTGGAAGCATCTTCATAAAATACTAATTTAAAAAAAACAAAATCATTGAACATGCATATATTTTAAACATTTTTGTCTAATTTATACCATTTATAGTATTTTTTGTAAATATATGTGGCAAAATTAAAGTTATTAGTTACTATGCTAATGTTTTTAGTTAATAAGACTTATTAAAGTAAATTACTAACTATTAGTAAGTAAGACCTATTAAGTTAGTATGCTGTGTTACTAATTAGTAAGACCTATTAAACTAAATGTTTCTCTAATAAATTATAAAAAATTGTTGCACAATGAAAGAATCATCCAAATGTGCTGAAAATTTATAATAAATAAGCAAAGGAGAAATAATCTAGATCTACTTCTTTGATTAAAAAAGAAACAAAAATTAAAGGAATCATTGTTTGTAGTATAATCTCAGGTTCTGATAGATGTGCTTATCTGGCATAGTATGGATGTGCACAACTTAACAAATATTATTATATGTGCCATATATGAACTAAAGTTAGCAGGTTTGTATATGTGTATTCTGAGATAGGAATAAGCTGCACAAAGTTTTGATTTGAGACATGATACTGTATTAAAATTATAGATGCAATCCTTGAAGAGCCATGTACCTGTATGGCTGGTATTTGTCTTGAAAAATGGCCTCAAAATGTAATAAGAATTGTTATATTACTTTTAGCTGAATGTTGTTGTCATGCTATGTTGCCATGAGATTGGTATGATGGACTGATTACCAAAAGTGTGAATTCCATGTGTAGCCAACTCATATCCAAACATGAATTTAACAGCAGTTGGTGCCTAGTTTAAACTATGGTATTGATTGAAGAATCATGCTACTTGTTGGATACATTTTCATATTCATTGGGATTGACATAACTTGAAAGGTTCCAGGGATAAGTCTTTGGTAGTTGAAGAAGTGCCTTCGTGCAGAGCAATACCTTTTCGAACAGGTCTAGTGAACACATCCTTATTCATGTAACATGTATGGCCAGGAATGATGAAAAGCCTTGGGATGGGCATTCATGTTGTTTTCACAAACTCACTGTCGTGGTATTTTATTGACCTTCTGGTCATTTAATATGAGAATATTGTTAGATTGTGCCTTAACCCTCTTTAGTGGCACAGGTTTGGGATCCATGATAAAGACCTGTATATAAACAGTCTTTATTAGCTAAATTTATGTAATTATTTTAGTTTTTATTTTCATAAAATTAAATTTATTAAGATGGCATCTATATTATAAAAGAAAGTAAGCAAAATATCTTAAATTATAAGCTAACCTTTACCATGTGACAAAAAAAAAAAAAATCATGTCTGGATAAAACTGGTTATGGTGTTGAGAGGGTTATTCCAGTGAGTTCAGTGTTGTTGAAGTGCTGTGTCATTGTTCCCTATTAAGATTGGCAGTAGGTCTTTATTAAGCTTCATTAACCTTTCTATTTACTCATATCATGCAAAATCTAATAATTAAAGACATCATTACAGTTGCTGAAATTTAAGACAACTTAAGATTGCTTTGATAATTGCTTTTGCATCATAGCTTTGTTATTCATGTGCCATCTTTGATGCATGTTCTCTATGCACTGTGATGAATCACCTTGAGGACTTTTTTATACATTTTTAATTACATATATGGTTTCAAAGTATTTGTGTTTGAAATTCCATTGAGCAAAGTTTTTAGAATGTTTATATATATACATACAAAAAGTGTATATGTCACATTTTCTCTTCAGTCTCGTTATGTCTCATTAAATGCATGGCAGTGCAATTTAAATAGAAATCTTTTAAATTAAATCATAGTTATCCTTTTTCTTGGATCTTGTAAATTTCTGTCTAATCTAAAGTCGATGATTCTTACCTTAGGTGAAATGCAAAAGGCACTCTTGTGTGAGATAGTTTCAGGAAAAGCTCTTTCAGGATGAGGGAGATTAAATCATTAATTGAACATTTCCTGGAAATGTAGGATAGATATAGAAATGGTTTTTAAACCACTGTATAAAATGATTTCTTGTTAAAATTTTGCACAAAATCTCAGACTTATTGCTGTATATACTTGTGTATAAGTCGACCCCCCCCCCCCCCCGATTTTTGAGAAAAATTTTCGAAGGAAAAAAAAATTTTGTCGCATGAAGCAGCGGCCTTGCCGCCAATAAAACGGCATGCCAATGTACTTGATAAAATTACACACATGCTTTAGCAAATTTTTGTTTATTTACATTTTAGCAGGATAAAATTTTAAAATATGTACAAAATTTTCAATGAATTTCATTCGAATCGTTTAAATTCCTTTAAAGTCAGAACCTGCAAATAAATCATGAAATTCTTTTTCGGTCATTAACAAGTCATCATAAATTTCATTACTCGATTCATCACAGCTAATATCATTATCATCATTTGGATGGGTAACATCATTTCTGTGCCAATGTAACATTTTTTGAATAATTTAATTATCATTTCAGCTGGAATTATATCCGAAGCTTCTTTCACCCACCATGCAATTAAACTTATATTCTGATTTCTAATATTGCCGCCTTTGGTTTTAGTAGGCAAATTGGATCGTATCCCATTCTGCCCAATGCTTATACTTATTCATCTTGAACAGCTTACTTATGCTGACATCCAGTGGTTATAAAATGGATGTCAACGCTCCTGGGATCACAGAAAGTGTTGTTTTTGAACTTTCTGAATGTTACGGTCTAAACATATCTCAAATCAAAAGCAAAGGTTTCTCTAAAAGTGCACCTGATTTTTTGTACCATACATTTTGAAATCAATCATGTGTTAGGGTGTCGTCCATCCAGTTATTTTTCTATGCATGAACGAGAACACCTATCGGAAATACTGTTTTTTTCAATAATGTTTTTCGCTTGAAAATAATCATGTGAAGCAACTTATTTCCATTTGCTAAACAGGTGAGAACTACTGTGAAATGAATTTTCTCATCACCATTTGTTTTTATATGAACTGTTTTTTCACTCTTTTTATCAGCAGCGAAATTTTCCGCGAGATCGAAAGTCATGGGGGTTTCATTAATGTTTCCTATTTGCGACATTTCAAAATTAGTTATTTTTCTTTTTTCAATTACATACTTTTGGAAGTTTATTAATTTATCTTTGAGTTTCTGTGAAACTTTGGTATGATGATATAAATGTAGTCCATAATGATTCCTGAATCTCGTGCACAAATGGTGTGATGCACAAAAAGTGTTATTGACAGGATCAAATTTTTCATCTTTCGTGAGTTTCAGGCTCGCAAATATATCACAGCTCGGTTTATGATATAACTTTGCTTTTTGTTGTCTAGAATCCAGCACTAAAACCTTTTCCCAATTCTGGGAAAGACACCGATCCACGAAGCAGTGCCTTTTTAGATTTTAGGGTTTTCTTTAATGTAACCACACTTTCCCTCCAATCACGAATCATCTTTTCATTCACAGCAAACTTACATGATGCAATACAGTTGTTCGTACTTTCAGCTTGAATTTCACAGTGTAAGACATTCTGTTTTGTTTTACACAACTCTTTGCAAAGAGTGTGTGGCTCTTAAAAAAGTTTTTTTTTTTTTTTTTTGTTGTTGTTTTGTAAATTCCGCTAAATCAGACATTACGGAAAGCACAAAAAGTAAAAAAGCACGTGTCTGATCAAGATAAATAGACACACAAATTTGTGTTTTTTTTTTTTTTTTTTTTTCTTATGCATGAACGATATATTTAATAATCAAGTTCAACAATGTGCGATTGATCGACGGTGGCAGGTCTCTCTCTCTTTTTTTTTTTTAAGGTTCTGTGTACAAGTTGATCCTCTACTTTGATTTTTTCCTCCTTAAAATTGTTGACTTATACACGGGTATGAATGTACTTGATATTTTTAATTACTATAAAAATTTTGTCTATATATTTTCTATTAACATTTAAAGTGTTATTAGTGTTATAAAAATTTATTAAGGTTAAAATATGTTTTAGTTTGTATTAAAATGCTTTCTTTTATTTCATACATTTTAAAAATATTTTTAGAGACGTTGCTAAAGTGTTACAATTCCTGTTGGAAGGACGTTGCAATGTAAGTACAAAGCTGAAAATTTATTTTTTTATGTTCTGTGCCTTAAAAAAAATCTTATTTATTTTTAATTTCCTTGCATAGTTCTCCCCATTTTTTAAACTAATTTTATTGTATGAAAATCATGTGAATAATTTAATTTTCAAAGAACGTGGTTACAGTAAGAATGTCACAAAGGAAAAATAATCATGGACAAACTAAATAAAAAATAATCATGGATTTTTGAAAGAGATACTATTGTGATACTGGTAAGTATCACAATAGTATCTCTTTCAAAAAAAACCTGTTTTCCAATAAGAATATTGCATAATATTATTATTATAATATCGGATGGGTATATATCGAATTGATATCTGAAGTACCTTGAAAAGTTCAGAGTGCCTCACGTAAATGAGTCTTAACCACAGTTCCCAGAAGGGCATCGGAGGAAAGAAGGACAAGGGCACAAACAAAAGATCCACATTTTGAAAGCAGTAGATAAGTGAGCTGGATCATGGATAACAGAAGTGAGTGAAATCACATGTTTGGTAAGTTTCATAAGTGTGAGAACACCTGTAACATCCAGGTAGTTAATGAAAAATTTGCACAAAATAAGTTTCAAATTATAAAGGCAAAGGAAAGCAAAATGGAAAAATGGATGAATACTAATACAAAAATGCAAATACAAATCAAACACATCGAATAAAAATAATCAAAGAATACAATTTACAGTAAACTAGCCTTAAAAAAGGAGGAAAAAACTATGTATAATAGACAAAGGGGGGAGAATTTATGAATGTTTTTAAAGTTTTCTTAACCTAGTACTAAAAAGCTAGGTAGAATTTTGCGAGGAAATTAGGTAATTAATAATCAATAATTTAGAATAAATGTCTTTTAGTTAGTTCAATCTAAAAAAAAATTAGGTATTTTAAGAAATGTGTGCTACATTAAAGTGTAATTGACATATTTTGTGTGCTTTTGGGAATAAAGATAATTTTGTATGCTTTATCAATTTGTTGACTATTTAAAATTGTTGCACATAATTTTATTATTGTGCAAAGGGATATATCAAATGTTGTGTTTTGAGTGATTAAAGAAAAAAAAAATCCACTGAACTGTTGAAATACGTACAATAGGCTGCTGGTTTTTTTTTTTTTTTTTTTTTTTTTTTTTTATGAATGGTGAAAGAAAATTTAGTAAAATATATTTTTTCCCTCTTTAAAAACTGGTATTGTCATTTGTTAAAATATAAAAGTAATAATTATTCATAAAAATGTAATGAAAACTTTCGATATTATTATACTGTCTAGTTTTATTCATTTTCTGACAGTGTTGAGAGTAATGGAAAATTAAACAGTAGTAATAACCTACAGCTATAGATAAGTAGATTTTAGATAATGAAGAAAGAAGGCAAAGTGGGAGATGTTGTTTACTCAAGCAGCAGCATGTGAGAAAAAGTAATGCGTACTAACATTGATCATATTTATAGCCAGAAAATCTCTGTGTTAATCCTATGCAACAATCGAGCTAAAGATTTCCCAGTGTGAAGAAATTGCAGGGAAAGAGTCACATAGCATGCTGCAGAGTGATGCAAAATGATGCAGAGTGTATCTTTTAAGTGAGGATGTGCTTAATTAAAATTTATGAATTAAGATATGTCCAATTAAGTTTAATGATATTGTTTCTTATTTTATGTTTTATATATCCCTCCCCCGTAGAAGAGAAAAAGGTGTAGCAAGAGAAATATGAAGAAGAAAGCATTAATGTTAGCAAAGGAAGAGAAATTTTGTAGAATATTTACCATATTTACAATTGCAATGACAAAGCAAATGAAATGCTTCAGGGACATAGTATTTAGGTTTCATTAAGCTCTGTCTGTTCATGAACTTTCTTATATTTGAATATAAAAAAACATATAGATACATACTTACAGGCTAATTCACTTAAATATGTGTAGACTTCATTGAAGGGAAAGATAATTTGGAAATACATAACTATGTAGGAGTGGGAGCACGTTCATAGCAGATTGCAGGGCATTGTTTTGAAGAGATACAACCTATGTGTGTGACGTTCAACATTCGGTCACAAAGTAAGATGGAAGGTTTCATTAATTCTGAATTAACAGATATGCATCTAGCTTATGGAGTGGCTAATTCTACTGGCTGAATCACTATGTGCCTGTAGAGTGGTATCTGAATAGACAGATTCCATATCACCAGGTGTTTGTACGGCTGCATCAAAGGTAGTGGTATACAAGATCTTTCGGGACAAGTCAAAGGAATTGGAAATGAATGACATGGACAACTGACATAGAAAACATGGTGCCTCTTTATGCAGAAAGGAATCTACATGTTCATGCCCATCAGCAGCAGTTTAAGCTGGCTGCATTGGCATTTTTGTGCTTTTGTAACCCCATTTTTCAGCTGCTATCCTGTTGACTGGTGAAGTATACTTTAGCAGAGAAGACTACTACAATGCACATAACACACATATATGGGCAGCAGACACTGGACAGATGGTCCTATTAGATTTTTTGGGAGAAAGTGTCATCCACGTTGTTAGATGAATAAAGCATCCAGCAGCTCAGCCTGTTTTACTCTTTTCATTTAGCAAGACTCAAATTCAATAGTTAGTCAAAGATGGACCAGTTTTAGCAGGCGTAGGAGGTGGTTCAGATACTCCAACTCCCAAATATGTATCATGCAAAAGTGTTGATACAGCTTTATTGCCAAGCTACTCAGCAAACTGAATTGTTTTCAGTTTGAAATTTGCAGGATATAATAAGCATTTTTTATTCTCATTTATGGGAAAACATTTATGGGGAAAAATCTGTAGGAAGAATATTGTATGTGTCAGTTAAAATAACAGTAGTCACTACCCAAGAGTGTGTCACTGAGTACGAGTAGATACTGTTTGACAGACGGTTATTGTTCACAGTGGTCATTTTATGCACATGCTGTTGCCTGACAAATGCATGCACTTCTCCTCCAAGATGATATCATAAACTATTGGGTGTCCAATAGTGGAAAAGGGGGTTTCTTATATACATTAAAGTATGTTATATGGTTAATTTATATGCTTCCTTTTATAAAGAAATGTACTAGAGGAGAGCTTAAGCCAAATGAATATTTGTAAAAGATCTATATAAATATCTATATGGCTGTCAAAAGTATTTTCTCTTTTCCTTCCGAGGTTTGTATAAAATATTTCGCACTCATTTCTTTCCTAATGGCAACAGTCACGCATGCTGGAGATAAAAATTGCTTTATTTTGAAATGTTGCCACAGATCATTTTCAAATCATAGTTTATTAATAAAAAAATTTTGTTTTTCACAAAATATAAAACAAAAATAACATTGCCAAACATGAAATATATTATTATTATTATATAAGGTCTTATTCTGATGTTGAAGAAAGCAGGCAATTGCATGTGACATCCTTGTACATTGAACATTTTTCATTAATTTCAGCATTTTTAATAATTAACTGCTGTTGGCAACTTTTTTGTTTCACATTATGATAATTGACACAATATGGAATTGTCATGTTAATTCTTTTATTGATATTAAGAAAAAGCTGTTATATTAATATTAAATTAAAATCATGATATCATACATGATATGAAATGCTTTTGTTCCTTAGTTTGCCAAACAAAAAATTACTTATGAATAGGTTGTTGCTTGGAAAAAATGAACTGATTTCATTCACACTGAAGTGTTTTTGTTTTCAGGTGTATATAGAACTTATAAATTTTGCTTTGGCCACAACTAGCAACTTTGTGTGCAGTACAATAAATTAATAGTTCATTTTATTTTCAGTTTTTCAGTGCATTTTAATAATGTATTTAATTTCTTTTATTTCATATTTTCTTTTCGAGTACAGTTTAAACTTTTGCAGGTACCTAATGTATTTTAGTTGAATTATTATTTTAGTACAGTGCTATTTGTTTTTAAATTTATTAAAATGCAAAACACAAAAGAGGCATAATGCAAGATGCATTAAGAAGACAAAGACCTGAAGCACAAAGGTTACAATGAGCTACAGAAAATAAAGAAGGAATCACTAGAAGACTGAGCAAGCACAGTGACAAGAAAATTTCTGTGCTTAAGAAATTGAAGAAGAAATGACTAGAAAACTCACCAGACAAGCACAACAACAAGAAAACTTATGTACTTAAGAAACTGAAGAAGAAACGGCTAGGAGACTCAGCAGTCAAACATGTTGACAAGAAACTGAAGAAGAAACCGATAGGAGGATCAGCAGACAAGCAGAAATTCAAGAAACGTTTTGTGCTGAAGAAACTGAAGCAGAAATGAAAGGAAACTGAGCAGACAAGCAGAAAACAAAGAAAATTTGAGCACTCAAGAAAATATAAAGCAGAAACAAGTAGGAGGCTCATCGGACAAGTGGAATATCAACAGAGTAGTAAGTAGACAAAGGACAAGACTCAGTGTCATTGTGAAATTTGAGTATAAGTGTTAGAACAAGATGCCACTAAACAATGAATGCAAGAGGTTTCACATAACAGACAAGTCCGATCTGAAGAAACAATGGCTGTACGAGAAGGCAGGCTTCAAATGAATACAGCACAACATTCATATAGCACTCTTCACAATGCAGGAAGATGTGAAAGTTTATGTTCAGCAACACAGTGTCAGTTCAATGGAAGCTTGCTTTGATATCTACAATGCACTCTTCTTTCCAGGAGAAAGGAACATGGAAGATACATGCACTGCTGTCACAATGGGAAAATTGTAGAAGCTGAGAGAAGATTATCCAGAAGAGTGGCATAATTGAATGAATGGGAACCACCAATTTTCTCAAGATTTTTTTTGCTAACATATGTACTTGTAACTGTCTTCTTAATTTTGCATCCTTGGGTGGCAATGTAAAAATGCTTGTTTTAGAATTCATGGTTCTATGTATCATCGAGCAAACCGCCTTCATCCTGATCAAGAAGCTGCTCAGCTGTATGCTTTGGATTTGGATCAAGCCCTCAGGCTGAGAATGAATATACTTGGAAA